CAATCTTTACTGAATCAAAAGCCATCTCGCAATCAATGAAGGCTATATACAATGATCGGGTGTATTCTAAGAATTCATGCATCTTTTGATCTACAGTAGGACTATGGTCCATTTTTAGTAATTTTAACGAAATCCTGGTTGATGAATTGGTTAATTCAATTGTTATGTTGCTTTATTATGTTAGCAATTACTTTGGTAAATAGCTTTTATACGAATGAGAGCAAGCTGATCGACCTCTAATTCTTCTAATCCTTGTCGTCCCCTTTCTTAGGGATTAAGATTATGTTAGCGTTCCCCTAAAGCTCTGGCACCCTCCCCGTCAGGAGACAATTCGTATACAGGGTGGGCAGTTTTTCTAACACAATATGTCTTCCGTTTTTCAGCAGATCAGATGTTATCAGACTGTCACCAACAGCTTTGCCCCTTAACATTCCCGTGAAGGCTTTCGTGACTTCTGTCATTACTTGTTGGGTGTCATATGAGGTACTCCCAGCACATACATTAGGGCATTAAGGTGTTGGTTGTCCTTGGAACTGTACATATCTCTGTAAAACTCATGCGCTACCTTAACTATATTACTTATATTTGTTGTTAATCTGCCTTTCTTGTCCATTAGTGCGTACATCTTGGTTTTGCCTATCCCATGTTTCATTGTTACCACTTTGGCTCTTCTTATGTTCTCTAGAGCATGATCTATTCTTTTAGTGTTGTACATTTTTAAATCGGAGACCTTACGCCTAATAATCAACTGTTAAAGTTCTGCCAGTTCTATTTTGTCTGTTGTGTTTGAGGTTTTCATGTTTTGGCACTTCTCATTGGTTTCTTCGTCTCCAAGGCAGCTTTCTAGTGTCCTCTATAACTACCATACCTCCAACTTTCCCTGCACACTCTCTGATGTGACTCGTCAGAATATTATTCATTGCGTCAATGTTAAGGCCCGTTTCTGCAATAATTGCCGCGTGTCTGTTCTGAAGCGAGACTGAATTCCTGTACTTTCCCTCAGAATGCTAGCTCATTGATGGGCTTCTTGCGTGTTAGTTTCTGTCGTTCCTTCAGGTCAAGGTGAATCCGGGACCTGACCAATCTATGGTCACTGAATCGTACCTAACCAAGCACTTCCACATCCTGCACGATGCCTGGGTGTGCACTCAATATGAAGTATATTTGATTCTTACTTTCAGCATTAGGGCTCTCACTTGTCCACTTACGGTTCACTCATTTTAGGTATAAAGAATTCAAAATCCGTAAATTACTTGCGTTCTGGGAAATCTAGTAATACCTCTTCAGAGGAATTTTTAGTACCGATGCCTTAATCTCGGCTGCCTGTCATTCAGCCTGCTTCTTCCCTACTTCAGCATTGAAGTGGCCCATCAGTAAAGTATACTATGTTTTTAGCTTCTTAGCCAATTCAACGTTTTCATATAACCTTTCAACTAATACGTCATCATGGCTGCATGTAGGCGCGTAGGCCTGTATCATCTCCATAATGTATCTCTTACTAACTTTATTTACGATAACTGCTACCCTCTGAATAATGATCTAATATTATTTTATGTTTCCCGCTATAATTCCATGGATAAAGAACTCCACCGTCAGTTTTTTTCTCATCTAAAGTTTAGGGACACCTAAACAGCCTATCACAATAGAGCCTAGAGGCAATCCTTAACCCACGCAAGTGTTGGCCACACTCCAAAGACATGCTGAAAATGATTGCCTCACGTCAAATTCAAGGTCAAAAGAAAAAAAACGCTGATAGTCAGACGAAGTTAACAGCTTAGCTTTCAATGTTGCGCGTATGATAAATAGCGTCAACTGACCTATTTACCGAACACCTATGTACAGCTTGCATACTGAATGCTTATTACATTGCTAAAAAAGCAGATAGCCAGCAGTGCAACCACAGTTCCATTTTTTGAAGCGTGACCATTGTATGAATTTTTTAAAAGAAAACTTCAAACACAAGTGTTGCTTTTTCGTAGACAGCTTGATTGTCACGTAGTATTCCTCAGTTTGATTCCGGCTCGATGCGGTATTAGGGTGAAGCACCTTAAGCACGACGATCTTCCGTTCTTGGTGTCTGTGATCAACGCTCAGTGCAAACATACAGGAAACATAAAAAGCTAGACTAAGGTCACGATTACTTGTGACAGAACAATATGCAACATTTATAAACTTATACTTTTCATACTATTCAGTAACTCTAACGTTGATATCATGGACTTTGAACCTATCTTTTTCGTGAACTTTTTATATGAGAATATGTAAATTTACATTGTATGGGGCAACATTCGCGTAATACATATAAGACACAAAATATACTTTATGAAGAGATGAAACAATGCAGCTTACCCTACCAGTCCCCTTTTCGAGCAAGCCTACCTTTTCGTGCTCTCAAGTGGTAATCATCGATAAAGTCTTCGGGAATTCCGCCAATGCATCATACTCTCAAGCAAAGTAGTTGCAACACGACATTGGCACTATGATGTGCACACAGTGCTGGTTCCGCTGCTGCGGTGACGTCCGCAGTTTATTATGACAATGTCCTTCATTCGATGAAGAACGAGTGACCATACAGCCTTTGCAACGTACGAATTCTCGTCAAACGCTGTTAACTGTTAACTGTTCTTGTCAAACGCTGTTAACGATCATTCGCCTAATAAAAGGAGGGCATTCAATTCGGTTGACACATATTTTGAGGTTCAGTCGTTTCGGTGCCGGCCTAATTTACTCATGCTCGAGTTCACTTACTTAAAAACATTTCTACCTAAGGCCGCACCTATAATCAGACTCACTAATCAGTTCTACTTGAGGATGCTTGACTGTGACAGATAATTCTACCTAGATTGCCACGAACTCAAGAAGCATAGCACCTGCGAAAATAAGTTGAGAACAGGACTAAACTGTTGAACGCTTTGAAATCGGCCGTACCTAGCTCTCCCGATAAAGATACCCTACTTACGCAATGACATTATCTGTGAGGCCCACAATCATACAGAGAAGTAATGTTTTATCTGTAATTAGGAAACAGCAGCATCTGGTTTCTCACTTACTTTCGACTAAACTTCTGCCTAATGTGAATAACAGAAACCAAACGCTTTACCGTTATTGCCGATTTTTATAAAGTATATATGTTAGGAGAAGTTTGAACACGTTTTATGAGCCAGTTTTCATTTTAAGTACCAACTGGTCTGCATATAGTCATTTATGTTATTGTTTTTCTTATTGAGCGGTTATATTCTATGATGTGGAAAAACAAACATACCAGCATAAAATTTCAATCTGTCATGACTACAATCTAGCACAACTATCTACTTTGGCTTATGTTTAAGATCCCGCAGAATTGTGTCGAGCTGCTTTTGACTTCGGTAATTGTGAATTAAAAAAAAATCAGGAATGTTAGTTTTTCCTAAACTTCACTTTTTATCACTTCTGCGTTGCATGTGTTCACAAATAGGCTTGGAGAAAATAAGTGCTGAAAAATCATTCTTAATCTAGATATATTAAGTGGTGTTATCTTGTTCTTTTTTCCCCTAATATAGTTTATGACTAATGGAACCATTTATTTGTACTCAAGCAGCAAGTTCTTGAATGTAACATGCATCCGGGCAAAAGCAATAAAGACTAATAAAAGTACGAACACTTTAACTTACGATGTGCTGGTTAAGTGGGCTGATGACGACAAACAGTGAGCTACAACAATTCAGTATATTTCATTAAATAGGTGTTATTACCAAGCACTGCAAACGTTAGTACACACAATATATTTATAAAAGTCAGAGTATAAATGTTATAGTTGTATTCAAGGTGCGGTATATATATAATGAAGCGAGAATCACGGTGGCATTCGAACCGGTGTGCACTCAATCTGTACACAAGCGTCTCAACCGGTCATGCTATCCAGGCATGCTAGTAGAGTGTAGCATAAAGTTGCAAAGCACTGTGGAGCATGGACGCGGGAAAGCGGAGTGAGTGAAAAAGCGAAACATGTGATGGCGAGCAGGATGAGAAGGAGGAGGGAAGCGAGTATAGCGTTTCATAGAAACTACGAGAAAGAGAGCAATAGACAGAAAGAGATGTACAAACATAAGTAATTGATTGATTGATTGATTGATTGATTGATTCATTGATATGTAGGGTTTAGGGTCCCAAAACTTCATAGGATTATGAGAAACGCCGTTGTAGAGGGCTTCAGAAATTTCGACCACCTGGGGTTCATTAACGTGCACACAAATCGAAGCACACGGGCTTACAGCATTTTCGCCTGCTTCGAAATTGTAGCCACCGCAGCCCAAATTTGATTCCGCAACCTTCTGGTCAGCAGCCGAGTACCTTAGCCACTGGACCACCGTGGTGGGACATGCACAAAGAAAAAAAGAAAGAGAAAGTGGAAAAACAAAAAAGGGGGAGAAAGCCCTCTTCAGAGAGAGAAAAAAATGAAAAGAATTAGGGATGAAGCAAGCGACAAAGAAATATAGAGAAAGCGAGAGGAAAAGAATTGAATAAAGTGGGTGAGAGAAACGAAGAGCAACACAAGGACACAGAGAGAAAAAGAGGAAGCAAATAAAGAAAAATTAAAAATAGTACTTACATAAAGCAAGAAAACAGAAGCAATAAAAAAAAGTTGAGAAAAATTATTTTGGACAACCTCATAAAAGGCAAATGCCAAGACCACGTAGCTGCAAATACACTCCGCCGTCTCTTTAGCATTCGCGTGTTGAAATGAAACTTATATTTTGGAAAAGATATAAAACACCTTTTTATTCTTAGCTTATATGTCAAACGAGTACACTGACAAATAATTATGAATTTCCTTTGCATGTGAAGGTGGCATGTGCTTCTTTAAGCTGTCCCGCTTGCTGAGGTTTCGTTTGGTTCTTCACAATTAATATTAATACTTCAACTCACAGGGAAAACAATTATGATAAAGTAGTTGACACTTTACCATTGAAGAAACATTTGGTTGCTTTGTGGTATGAGTATGTCATCCCGTAGTTAGAAAATTAGGTTTTTTTGTCTGTTTTGTGTTCTGTAACTCACAACTACATTCTTTTCCACAGGTATTGATGACTTACATTTTCGTAGAAACGCAAGAACGCGTTTCATGTTACAAGACGTATAAGGCAACTAGTTCTAATTCAGTTGGTTCTTTTCCTAGAATAAACTTCAGTGCCTCATGCGTACTGTTTAAAACAGGTGTGTTTCACGCCTGCCGATGAACGTAAGTCCTTGTCAGTTGTAATCTCTATAAATAAACTCTTAAACGTCTCTTCGAGCGGAAAGTGTCCTCGTCGGCACCGCTAACGAAGGTTGCGAGAAGTAGTCGCGTGATGATGTCACCAAATAACGCCCCGATAGGTTGACAAGTAGTGCAAATTGCCAACTTAATATGACATCAGGTATTTTAACGTCACCTTTTAATCTCAGCACGTGACATCGTATCTTGGTCAAGCGTAGTTTGATTACGGAAGCGATACAATACTAAGTGGTGGGCCTTCGATTTTGATGGGCGTACAAAACTATTTTAGAGGCCAATAGCTTTCGAAGGGGGCGGGGCAGCATCGATACATCAACTGAGATCGAAGAAGGCTGTAAATCTCAAGTCATGTTAGCGGAGCAAAGGTGGGGCTTTGGGCATTTTTTTTTCACTTACACGCTCTCTACCCCCCCCTTTTTTTTGTTTTCAGAAAGGTGAAAGCTTTTTTTTGTGAGGGCATATTTGTCTGAAATAAATTTTTTGTGGGAACGAATGCAACAAAAACCACGTAGATAACTTTGCAGTTTCCAATTTAGTCTGACGCTTCTTTCTCGTAATGAGCCCATTTGTATAAGTACACGTCATCTTGCATAGCCAATGCAGATATGAAACGAATAAGTGTTCACTTCATATTCGTAAGATCGATTGCTGTTGATGCAGTGCTTGCCGTAAGTTGGTGATGAATGAATGAATGAAAAAAACTTTATTTGAGTCCTGCAGGACGCGCTTCATATTTTTCATTTCAGAACACAAATACATCTAGTAGGTTCAAGCGCATGAACATTTAGACAAATATTTTCTCAGGCCAAGAATCTTGCAGTTTCTAGCACCTTGACGATTTGCTTATTTTGGGCTGAAACGCATGGGGTAAAAAAAATGTAGTTGGTAAATGCAATGTTATTGTGGTTTTTTAATGCCCTGATAAATATGGAGGAATTTGCTGTCATGTAAACAAAGAAGCAGAAATGGAAATGAAAAAGCTAAGAATAGTGTAGGCAGTGGTCCTAGGCACAGATAAGAAGCAATATGAAGTGCCTGGGGTGTTGTTACAGGATCCTTCTGTCATGAAACGTTGCGTACATAGCACAGGCAGAATGGTGTATTTAATTTAGAATAAGAAATGACGATTTGGGTGTGCGTAGCAATGATCTATCGAATACGGCTGCGCCTTGTCGACAGTGTGGATGTAAACACTAGTTAAGAGAAACCAGCAGAATGCCAAGGCGTCATTAGTATTATAACCAAATAGCTCTAGAGAGTATCGAGGCTTATAATATTGCATCAAAAAATAATGCATGACAAAAAAATAATGCATCAACTTCCCGCCTCCAGCCTTGCAAAATATGTAAACTTCATACTTGAAGGGTTGAATATTGTTGTTTTTTTATTTTTATGAGTTGCTCATACCGGTTGCCATACGCTTATGCACTGGTTTGTTACCTGTGATAAACCACGCGTGGGTTTATATTTATGGTCTGTGCATGAGAGATATGTTCATTGGAAAGTCAGCGCTTGTGCTTCGTGTTCCCCTTTTTTGTTTCCATTCGTCTTTCCTTGTGGTGTTGAGCTTGCCCAGTTATCGGCCTTTATATATCCTTAATCTTGATGGGAGCCGACAGATGAAAACAACGCAGTGGGATAAAGATAAGATGAGCAGGTGAAGTGCCTCAGACTTACTGGCCGACGTTTCGATAGAAGGACCTATCTTTTTCAAAGGCGCCATGTCATCCTTGGCGTGTTAGTTTTAAAGAGGTTAGTGGTGATGTCACCTGACCTAAAATGAAGCGAGGACTGCACTCGTCTCTTTATAGTATTTTGCTTTTCAGACGGCGATCATCTGCAGGGACACGCACCACCACCATAATATGACGTCACCTCTAACCCCTCTAAAACTAACACGCCAAGGATGGCACGGTGCCTTTTAAAAAGATAGGTCCTCCTATAGAAACGTCGGCCAGTCAGTCTGAGGCGTTTTACTCGTTCATTTATCATTATCCCACTACTTTATAAATCCTTGTAATCCGGCCTACCCTTTCTCGTTCATGTGGTTTCTTATGTGCTGCAAGTTTCGTCATTTATCGCTATCGAAGAACTCATTTTTATAACATTTCAAGATGCCTCTTTGAAGGGAAGTTATGTACCATGCACTAAATTTTTCTGTTCCTGCCGTCGTACTGCAGTGCTTTTGGTATCGCGCCACCCCTGTAGAAGCCACTATATGAAGTTTTGACGGCATCATGTGTAGTTACGCTACGCGACGTTGTATTTGCCCCATCACCACTTTTCATTCGTTGTGCCGCCGCTGACCGTCACTGCTCACATTTCGCGAGCCATCTACGGCGTTCGCTTGCATAAGACATAACAAAATATTTTACCACATTTGCTGGCCTTGTAGGCAACACGAGTGAATTGGTGCCTCACCATACTTGGCGCCGAGTACTTCGTACACTTAGATATCCGAGCGTATGGCTGAAGTGAGCGCCATTTCAGCGTCTCTGGGAGTGACACTGATTGCCTCTCTTCGCTAGAGAGTGACATAAAGAAAACACTTGTCAGTGTGGCTTAACAAGTAAGCTTCCCCACTGCTCTGACTTTTGCAATCGCTTCCTGGCTTTTGCAACCCACTTCTAACTGGGTACATCACTGCAACAACTGCCACGAAGATAGGTCGCACAAATAATATAGAGGTGTATGCCCCGGTATTGAATGACAGATGGTTACCATTATGGCGTCCCCTGTATAGCATAATAACCTAAGTTTGGGTCGTAAAACCTAAGAAAGTAACTGCAACTCTTGCCATGCTCTCGCCGTTGTAATTCATATTATTAATTTATTGAGGAGCGATCACGCGAAAGTGACACGTAATTGGTTATTCATACAGCGAAGAAACAAGTTTACATAATCGATTTTTAACTTTTATTATGAAAGAACATGAAGTAGAGCTATTCTAAAAAAACTAAAGCAGTCACAAATTACAAATTCACTTCAACCGAAGCTTCCCACACCGCAACAAGAGTGCAGATGGCACACATATGAACGCTTATAGCTATATATTCCTTTTATAAAACATAGCAATATATTCTTTTTATGTCAGCAAGTAATTACGTGGTGTAATTATGCTTCGTAATGCTGACAAATGATTTCGCACGCAAAAAAAATTTGTAAAGTGCTTCTCTGAGGAAGACCAAGAAGAACTTCACGAGATGATAAATCCTTCAAGACATGTTATGTACAATGGCAATCAGTTGCTTTAATAGGTTTGCGTGGGGTGGCTACGTCAATTCATTCTTAACGAATATTTGGGTGTTTTTGTTGCAGACCAATAACCTTAGTATATATATATATATATATATATATATATATATATATATATATATTACTCTGCGGTTTTCAGGCAAAATGGCTGTTACAAACTACACGTTTCTCCTTACAACGCGTCACTGCGCAGTCGTGGCAAAAAGTGAAGGAATACCAGGAGTGGGTGAGTTAGCCTTCTTATGACTAGTAATTTCAAGGAATCTGGGGGTAACGAGATGACGTATTGGCTACTGCTAGAACATACAACTCTGTAAGATTAACAAAACGTAAAACAGTTTTGTTGAACTCAGTTTTTAACCATTCCATTTTCGTTAGCAGTGTTCACATCTTTCATGCTCTCGCACCCCCTTTCGTTGTCAATTTATTAACCAAGCTTGAAGCGTGCACAGAAACCACCCTAATGGTCGTGCAAATAAGAAAGGCACACAAAGGACACAGACGAGAGTCGTCTTATTGGCCTGAATGTAAAAAGACTTTGGTATTCCACCATATTTAAACGAATGGCATAATTGGTACATATGAGTGGGCACGAGAGCAGTGGTCTCTGCACAGCTCTAAGCCGCTATTTCTTCACCATGCAGGCCTTCTTTGCGAACATCCTGCCGTGGTTATCAATTTGCTCTGCTGGCTTGGCGCATGTAGGTGCGCCGCTACCGACAACGAACCTCGTCAGCGTAGCCGATCAACACATGCCGAGCTCTGACGCCCCTTGGGTGCTCTTGAGTATCCACCAGCCCCATCGACGACAGCAGCAATCGCCACCGACAGTTTTAAGAAGCAACACCTGGACACCGCCTTCAGTGGGCACGAGAGCAGTGGTCTCTGCACAGCTCTAAGCCGCTATTTCTTCACCATGCAGGCCTCTTTGCGAACATCCTGCCGTGGTTATCAATTTGCTCTGCTGGCTTGGCGCATGTAGGTGCGCCGCTACCGACAACGAACCTCGTCAGCGTAGCCGATCAACACATGCCGAGCTCTGACGCCCCTTGGGTGCTCTTTGAGTATCCACCAGCCCCATCGACGACAGCAGCAATCGCCACCGACAGTTTTAAGAAGCAAACACCTGGACACCGCCTTCAGTGGGCACGAGAGCAGTGGTCTCTGCACAGCTCTAAGCCGCTATTTCTTCACCATGCAGGTGTGTACTCCTTTACTACACGCTAAAAAATCTGACAACCGCTGTCTACTGCTGTTCCCGTGCCCACGGGTGTTGTGCGAGACTCTGTGTGAATGTTTTTCAATGGCTCACACCTTGCTTTGTTCCGGCGACATTGAGACTAACCCTGGACCCAATACCCGTGCCACAACACAACAAGAATTTCATGAGTTACCCGAAACCCTGCCGAACAAATGAATGTCTTATTCCATATGTTGAAAGACGTGCACTCGCGTTCGTTACAGAGCTCACAGTGTCAGTCTGAGCTTGCTATTGATGTAAAAGCAATTAAAGCCGGACAAAAAAACATTCACGTTGAAATTACTGGTATCCGGAAGCGGCTTGACGAATTGGAAGAAAAATCGATCAAACTGGATACTATGACTGAAGAATTAGCAAGTGTGCAAAAGCCGTAGAAGAACTAACCGACGAGAATAACCACGTGCAATCTAGACTAACCGAGCTAGAGGACAGGTCCAGAAGGGACAAT